CAGGCTGTCGTAAAGGAACAAACCCCGAACCCCCTGACTGGCGCGCCTGGGAAGCGTGAAGGCGTCCCTGGCGCACGCCTGCAGCAGCAGACAGCATTGCCTTCCTCCTGCCCTAAGCTCAAAGGGCAGCCAGACGAGCTGCTCGTGCAGATACGTGCAGGCACGCGGGGGGTTCACGCGCAGAGGAACACACGCACAGCTGCCTTCTCTGCACGTGGCCGTTAAGAAGCAGCCACCATCTGGCTCACATATGCAGGGCTTATATGTAAGGTGTTGCCTGTGCCCGCTTTTCACAGACTTTCATTACTTTGGCCCGGAAACATCTGTAAAACCAGCTTTTCTTTTATAAACCAAACCATGGGATTTCCCAGCCCAGTGACAGGAGCGTGCTCTGCCAGTGCACAGCTCTTCCATCAGCACAGCCACGTCCACACCGGGGCACAGAAATTGTCAAGTGCGGTAACTCATCTCCTAGGAACTCCTGCAGCGTAAGACAACTATAGCAGTAAGAAAATGCGTAGACTTACTTACAGTAGTGATCATCCTGACTAGAAGGGAACTGTTGCTGTATTTATGTTTCTTATCTTATTCTTTCTTAGTAGCTTAGATTTCTAAGAAGCTCTGAGACATTGTTTTCCATCTAAAAGTGAGGTAAATTCATTAAAACAGTTTTCAAGTAAAGTGTGGTTACTTTTAAATAATACATGGTTGAAGGCTAAGCCACTGATTTAACTTTCCTCAAACCACTGTACGTGCATGCATATACAAAGATACAGTTCGTGTCCGCGCAGGCCCAAAGGTCACTGGTTATCTTCACTACTGTTGTATTAATTGGTTACGGAGGGATATATACAGCAAAGCAGGGGAGCTTCAGTGATGAGAGCCCTACGCGCAAGGCCCTGAAAACAGCAGATGGCCTTGTGCATCATTCAGTGGTGCTGGAAGTTGCTGTGTAGTTACTGAAATGGATTGGGCTCATTTCCCTGGAAAATCCACAAAGCCAAAAACTAGTTGACGTGGAAGAAGTTCACATTTGCGGGAGGAAGCCAACATTTGCTACAGTGAAATTTTAGCTGCTGGCAGTTTTTTGCGAACAAAGATTTGTGCGGTTACTGTTTGTGATTTAAACAAAGCAGAAATCTGTTACTCTGTCTAGTAGGAGTTCTCTCTACCAACCAGTTCTCTGGTTGGAGAGCTTTCAGAGGACCTTCCTCACAACAGGCATTCTGTCTTACCTTTCTGGTCCACACGTGCTGAAAATGGAATCTATGCTCACCTTTCTCTGTCTATTTTGTACATCCAACTCTAGATTAAATCCTTCACAAGTTTTCTCTCTCCAAAAATTCCTCTCAGCTAATTAAAAAATACTTCTCAGAAAAGAATGATAGCTGTGAAAATCCCTTTGTCTGAGCCACGTGTGAGAGTGATTTTGTTCATTCTCAAGTCATAGAATTTGGAAGTTGTAGACAGAGCATTGCTGATGCCTCTTTGCATCTGGAACTAGTGAAGCTATTCTGTGCAAGTCCTCTCATTTCAGTGTGATGCTAGCTTTGTAGAACGCAACCAGGCACGTGCCCGATGCATACCACTTATTAAACAGGAAAGGAAAAACAGATTTGAACAGCAGTGTGCATATTCATGGCTGCCAGGCTCTGTCAACAGCAATGTTCCACATGTGAAGTGTTTCTCTGGCTAGATGGGTTCTTCTGTCCAGCAGAGAAGGCTAGTGTGGAACTCTTCGGCTTTCCTGGAGGAGACATACTGCTGGCACATTAGGGCTTGTCAGCCATGGGGCTGTGCTGACTCTCCTATGATGAGTCCCAACAGTGTCAGTTAACTAACTGGCTTCCATATGCATGTTAGCAAAAGCAAGCTCTTCAGACCCCAGCAGCAATGTTTGACTCGGTTTGCTGTGTAATGAAATACAGGTCCATTTTCGGACACGTGTATTTAGAGTATCTGATTCAATTGCACAGACATTAAAAAAAAAAATCATGCTAGGAATACTCAGTGGAAGGTTTAACAATGCTGTTTTCCAAGATGCTACAAGATCACCACTGTGTTCAGCCACGCTCAGACAGTAGTTCTGTGTGTAGGGTGCTCAACTGTCCTGTGCCAGCCTACTGGGGGGAAAGCCAGGCTCACAGAAGGTAAGGGGCAAGGCTGAGCAGCCTCGGTATTCCGCTTACATAAATGCGTTTATCTATTGATAGCCTGCAAATATTTTAGCTTTGACTTTGAAACCTGATATTGGAACGCTTATTTTGCAAACTGCATAGAGTTGGCCAGTAAAAACACTGTTAATGGGCCCTGAATTGCAAATTTGTCTTTGGATTCTTGTTTTTAAATGGCTATACAGATACAGCAGGCAGCTAAGCAGCTATACTGTGGTCGAACACACTGGATTTTAGGTGCTTTGACTTGTTGTTTCCTTTAGCCTATCTGTAATAAATACTGCCTGTTGAATTCTGAGCTACGTTTAGAGCGTGAAAAAGCACCACTGAATGAGTAGGGTGCTTTTGCCAGGCTAAAGTGATTCTGTGCCACTGCTAGTCAGGGGAGGCTTGCCAGTAAGTACCCTAAGGCAGCTCCCTGGCTCACATTAATCAAATTTTGTTTTGTACAAATTATAAGGGAACAAATAATCACTGATAATTATATACAGGTAACTGGTACAGCACCAGTATCTTGAAACGCAGCCCCGCTCTGGGGTATATGAAAAACACCAGAAACACTTGACGTTTTTTAAAAAAAAAAGAACAAATCCGGATTGTGTTCATGTTTTGTGTAAAGGACAAAGGGCAAGTATATAAGCAAATTACATACAGTAGTGCTTATACCGTGTGCTATACGGATGTAGTTTGTATGAGGACAGAATACCTGAAGTGAGGTTGTTGAGCAGCTGAAAAGGTGTCAACACTCCTAGCAGCTGCTTCAATTTGAGGTTTGTGTCACTAAGGGATGGAACAGTTGACTGAAATTTTAGAAGGCAGCTGGAAGAAAAGAAATAGTGCACCTTAGCCTTGTTTTAAGATGAATTATACGACGGCCATGTTGTGCTGGTTGATTTAGAGAACACTCAAAGTGCTAAATCTTCATCTCTTGTGGTATATGAAATGTAAATGTGTTGCGTGAGTTTTCCTACTGAAGTTGTGTGGGCAATTTTCCAAGGCAGTCTAACAATTGAAGGACTATTCGTATCTGTACTCACATGATGTCTTTACAGGCTGTTCGTTTAGAAGAAAGCAACACTGAACACTTCAGCATGTGGCTTTGGATCCGTGTTCCTGAATGCCTTACCAGTTTAAAAATGCCTATTAATACAACAACGTAATTATGATTGATTTTGTAAAAATTACGTGCTACTCGTGACTAATGAGCTGGAATCTCTTTTTCAATAAATGATTTGAAGTGCAAGCTTTTCCTGCAAGTTTGCAGACAACTGAGCCCTATTACTACAATTTTACTTTTAAACAGTGTATTGTTAATTGGGCGGTGTCTCGTAATATGAAAACCTTGGACTTACTGCATCCTCTGCCTCGTTAATCATCAGCTACAGCAGTGTAATAATGCATATGGTGACAGCAACTGCTGTAAGAAGGCATTTTGTGTACTTTATTGCTGCAGCTACCCTAACTGCAAGGGTTGCAAAGGCCAGATAGCTTTAAAACGGCTCATCTGCTTTCAGCATTGCTGTAGTCCCTTCACCGTGTTGAGTAACATGGTGATAAATAAGAATACGAAGTTACTCACGTTCATCTGTTCTTCGGGAATGCATGGTTTTGCCCTCCTTCTCATCTGCTCTCAAAACAGCCTTTGGTGTTCTATACTGAGATTCTGTACCAAAAAAAGAAAGGAGTCTTTTGCAAAACACTGAAAGCATTCCGTAGAGAGAAGGCATATGGTGTGTAAGCAACAGTAAGCCAGCAAACGATACTAATGGCTGTGAATGGTATCCAGGCATTAAAAAAAAAAAACTAGTACAGCAAAACCATGCATATTTTGAGTATTAAATACTGACACTAAATAATCACCTTTTTGCAACGAGGAAACAGATTTTTAGTTAGTTTTAAAATTCCATCCCTTTCTAAATGGCTGTTAAAAAGTGGATTTTTTTTTTAACTGTAAGAAAACATTCCAAGGATGTCTTACATGTATCTTATTTTACTAAATCGTATCTCAAGTTATGTGTCAACAGCTCTCAAAGTATCAGGTGTCTTGATCAGCAAATTATTGTTGGGAATTTCTATTTAATCTGTACTCTTTTTATGACTTTCAAAACTTGTATGTTTGTAGTCAATAAAAAAAACCCTTGAACCCGATACTAGAATTCGTTTCATTTGCAACATAAGTTTTATTTCAGTTAATTCAAACAGTGAACACTTATAATTACCAGATGCAAAAAGTAGGTGTTTGCTACAGAAATAGATGCACCAATTTAGTATACATGCCTTTTAAGAACAGTACAGTTTTATGTCAGTGCCATACTGTGTTTTCCCGATAAAGGTTAATTTAAGAGCAAGTTTATCACGAAAGCTGCTCTTAATTGACCAGACAGTTTCCCACACTTAATGCCAGTCCATCAAATAACTGGTTTCAGAGCAAACATCAAAGTAGCGGTATTAAGTCACTTGTGACCTGAATACATGTGCTAAGGCCAGACGGATTCCCAGTCTCCTAGATCTCTGCCTTCTCTTCCTCCACCCTAAAAGGCAAGAACTCATTCCTAAGCAAATACCAGATCAGAGCAAGTCTGTGACCCGTTTTGTTCCAGGTACTGGAAGATGAAGTTTACACATCATAGCATCTCCAATGCTGTACAGGTGACAACAGAGGGTGGTTTTTTTTAGAAGCCTCAAAGTTAATGGAGATACAGTATAAAGAATGTGGTATGCATGAAAAAATTGGTGGCTGAACATATTCTATGAGGAGAGTTGAGACACTGTCATTAATATCTTTGTGTTAGAAATGCCTCAGACACTTCTTACCATTATCCACTTTCATACATACTTCAATAATGGTAAACCTGCACCTTCTGCATTCTGAATCTTTGTTTAAACCCAAACACAATGGTCAGTGAATGAAACCTCTTTTCTCTCACGTATGCAAAATGGTTTGCAGGAACAGACGCATCATACAAGAAAACTATGTTATAAATCCTGAAATAACAGTGTTACTTGTCTGTAGATTTTCTATATGTAAAACATTTTATTTGGTCTATTTCTATTCACATACTCTTCAACATGAAAACAACTCGGAACTACTTACTCTTGTTCCCTGTGTAAAACGGGCAGTGACTGCTGCTGCATGTTTACCCAGCGAGGAGGGGCGCGAGACCGGGAACAAAACCGCTGCTGTTGTAGAAGATGCTCACCTCCAGTACTTCTGCACTGGAACCCTCAGATGGCATCGGAGACCTCCGTGGAAGAGTACATAACGTATTGCCTGACCACAGGGAAGTCGTTCAGAAAGGTTCGCTCATTCTTGAGATAAGGACAACCCATTAGTAAGAAAAGTGACCTTGTGGTGAGCGGACCAGAAAACCCAAGCAAATAGGTTAGGTGTAAGCTTTTACTGTTTTAAGGCACAAGAATGATTATAATTATGAAAACTAATAAACCTGTCCTACTCGCATCAATTAAAAATGTAGGTAAAATGCTGACCCCTCGAAATGCTGCATTTCCTGGATGGTCAGTCTTTGGTAATAAACGTTACCATCAGAGGCACGCCGGGAAGCGAGACAACAGCACGCTGTTTCCGCACAGGGCAGGTAACAACTACGGAGTTACCACTAAAAGCGCTAACTGGTGAACGGGGCAGGCAAGGCTATCTTCTGCCAGCTGTTACCCGAGACCCCTCCCTCAGACGTGGAGCAGCAGTGCAGGGACACAAGCGCTCAAACCCCTCCGCAAGGACAGTCTGGCTCGTCTCAGCCTGGAAACACTGCCTGAGGTAACCGCAGGGCACCTGGGGGGGTACAGATCCGGGAGACCACCGAAATCTTCCATGCTATTATGGAACACGTAAAATCAACATATTCAGCTGTTACTGTATTCCTATAGTAAAACTGAAGATTAGAAAATGCTTCTTGGGAACTCTGTCACAATTTCATGTTCAACCTTGGGCAAAAAAATGACTCTTCAAGGCAGGTCTCCACAGCCAAAAAAGGATGGTTTTCAAAAAAACCTCTCAAAGTCTGTGAGACTTCTCCTGGCTTCAAGAACGGGCTTTAAATTTTGTTGAGTTCCTAATTCTGATATCTAAAGGAATTATATCTACACTACAGAATACAGTGCCATTTCTGGCTACCAAAGTTAGTGTGCATATCATTCAAAAATAACGAGTCTGACAGCTCACGGCGTTGTGCCATTCGGGTGTACCTGACTCTGGAAATAATACCCTTACTTCACAGTGAACTAGTTTCACACATTCTCTGCGCCCAATGAACATGGAAGAGAGGACATCTAAAAAACACAAAGGTTTTTACTTACATAACTCTAGCTTAATTCTTTTTAATTCTTAACAATCCACAGCACTGACAAAAGTGTACGTCTGGCATAAATCTGCATTCCGGAGGTAGCTTCAAGATTTGCCTTTTGTTGGGGTTTTGTTGCTTTTTAAGAAAATAAGAAAAGCGCTATGGGAAAATATAAGGACAGTACACCCATTCTTCTTTCAGAAGTAACACTGAACGGTTTTGGCAGACTGGAACTGTGAGAATAACGAAGTACGTCTTTGTGTGCTCAAATCAAGATAAGAAATTTTTCAAAAGTTTAACATTTAAGGTAGATGATTTCTTGTTGTACTTCTCAGTGCAAGAAACCAATGCTAGTTTTTTTAAATCTTGGTCAAGTGCTTGACTGGATGAGGGAAAAAACCTGCTAATATAATGATAATTTACACAGGTACTACAGGAAGTCAGATTTGACTGTTACTCCTCTTCTGTAAGCTAGGAACTTCCCTGAGAGATGAATTCAGTTACACAGAAGTTTAGCACCACTAGCAGAAGCGAATTAAGTGTATTTTTGATACTTTTTCTTCACGTATTCTTAGTGACATCAGAGTCCAATTACACCCTTCTCTATCTGTTTTTCATGTTTCAGTACAGTGAGCTCACACGCAACTCTGTCTAATCTACACATTGTGCCCATTTCTCTTTATCAAATTCCCTCGCAATCTTTAAGGCAGTGCTGTTGAGCGAAACCGACTGCATGTTACAGATGATACTAACGATGACTCCTCTGGGTGGTGCCACCAGCCCAGCACCTATAGTTGCCGAGTCCAGCTCTTCGGGAAGAATCAGGAGGACACTACTTGCCCCCACGGCACCACCCGTGTGAGATGCGTAGTGTCTCTGCTGTCTGCAGCAGCCACATTGTTGTTTTTTCTCTACTACAGCCCAAGCCATTGCGTATTTGCCATCCCTATCCCACGACACTTCTGTTTTTGGCACTGGGGTCCACATCATCGCGACCGTCTCTGGTTTGAGGTATCCAGGAAGAAGTCTGCCATTAGTGTTTTTAAATTGTCCAGCTTGGTAACTGTATAACAAGGCATTTCCAAATTTCAGAAGGTCGCCTACTGACGACAGAAAGCCACCACCAGCCCACTTGTAAGAGTTGTCCACGTACGGTGCATTTACCAGCCGTCCCTTTTTGTTGTAAACGTAACACCTAGAATTCAAGAAAATTCAACCTGTCATTCTCAGACACTATGCAAAACTATTTTATGCTGCCCTACCCTAAGAGAGCAAACTGAGCATGCATTAGCCTGTTCTCATGAAACCTCACAATTTTAAAAAAATTATTTTTCTTAAATATATTTCTTGCAGAGCCATCAAGAAATTCAGTTAGGAAAACAAAAATTAAGGTGACTTCTCAGGTTAGCAGCTTAGTTTCAATAGAAGTACTAATCCTTCCACTTACTATTACGATATACTAAAAGTAAAGGCAATAAACAAATAAGGCACGTGACAGAAATCTACAGATTAGCCAGCACAGGGTTTTTCTTAAGTCCCTGTACTAGAATTAAAGTGTTTTAAGAAAGAGGAATCCTACAACTACCCCATGACTGTCAGACGCCGGGCTGAAATTTCACTGAGGTCTTAGGTGACCGTGCCCAGACAGTATTTTCCATATATGCTTGATTCCCCCCCCGCCCCATTACAGTTGCCGTATACTGCAACAGCTGAATATCCTGGAACTACTAAGAAAAGTGAGAAGCCTGAAAGAGTCTTGCAAAACCTGTCATTAGAATACAAATTAGAAACTACAAATGAACTACCAGGAATACCACAACAAGAGCGCTGACCGAAAACACAGTCCAATCCTGACCGGATTAATTTCAGACAACATACAAAAAGGAATATCGAGTAACTAAAGAATGGGATGAATTTCAGCCTTTGGCCTTAGACCACAAGAGGGCCATGTACTACTGGGAGAGCTGTGAAAAGGAATCACACAAAAACCACGGGATGGGTGGGGAGGAGTAGCGGGGGCTGGGGCAAGCCCACTGTCCAAGAGAGGATACATGCCCTGCCCGGTCTGCACTTACACTGGAAACCTTTGAGGGAACTTCTGGAAGCCCCACTAGTGAAAAACAGAGGCTGAAGCAAAGGAAGAGAGACGCGCGGCCCAAGACTACCACCAGCTCTGCCAGTGACTTGATTATCTCAGTGCGCCTATGGTCAGCTTTTCGATCACAACAAAGCCTGTTACAGAGACGCTGAAATGCTTGACTTATACCTCTAAAAGTTCTAGAATGTGAATTTTTAAACATTTTCATGCCAGTGAAATACAGCATAAAGAAACCATTAAACAAACCACAACATGTCAGTATGTTCTAGCTTGAGGGACCAAGCTCGCTGTTTGTGGAAACAAAACCATCGCATTCGCATCTCAGTTCTGCCTAACAAATAGCCCATAAAAAGATCCCCAAAACGTCTGTCCCAATTCTTTCATCCCCACCATATTTCAGTTTATTAAAGGGTTAATGTATACACACACACACATTTAAAATATCTTGACTGTACAAGCTTGGTAATTCGAGAGCATCACTAGCATCCAGATCTACAGCCAGAAGAGCAAAATAAACACCAGCACAAAGTAAAGCTGTCCCTCAGACACTGCAGACTGCACACGTATATACACGCACACACTTTAAATATACACTTACATGTAAGTACAATAAACCTGGGATTCAACATGTTCATCACCATTTTCATTCTTTGAGAGCATTTCAGAAGACAAACTTTTAAAAGTTTGAGTCTCATTTTCATGAGACTTCTTACATAACCTGCTTTCCCATTCAGTCAGTCTCATTCTCCTGCACCAAAACTTAACAGGTGAGTCAACAAATACATTTCAGCACCCAGGCAGGCAGGTCAATAAAATAAGACTGGAGAGAAAGGCAATAAACTCTACCCTTATCCACTGTATTGGAATGGATTATCCAGTCACATACATTGATCTGGGATTTTGGGGGGGTTTTGTTCCTTGGGGTTTTTTAAAGTTAATAAAAAGAAATCAATTGGTAAAGTATGTTCTGTGTTAAACAGAATTTTAATTAAATCGATACTACAAATTTTATTTATGAAAACCTCGTGTTCCTGTGACACTATTACAAATCCACAGAACTCTGAAAAAGTCAGCCTATTAAGCAAACCACGGTAACTATATATCCTACCATAATCTCCTAGTTACTCCTTCATTTTTCTCTGTTTACACTTACCTGCTTATTTGTACCCAAAATAAACGCAAACTTCAAAGCCACCCTTGCCACTCCCTCCCCCATACACACTCCTGTACGTACAGGCAATACTTACTTCCTATTCTGTAATTTTACATGCTGATTACAGAACCAATATCATAATGCTGACATAAAATCAGTTACACGACTAACTTTGAAATAACATAAGCCACTTCATTTAAAAGCCTGAAAAAAAATTTTTTTAGATTCACACATTCTTATTTCAGTTGGCTTAATAAAGATAGAAAGAGCAACAATTATTATGGAAACAACAAAGTTTCATTTGTTTACCTTGCTCTGTTGTATATCATTGCTTCATTGTCATCTAGTACAGTTGACAGCATATCCAAATCACGAAACATCTTTAGCATATAATCTGTAAATTTTTGCCCTGAAGCTCTCTCCACAACAGCACTCAGGAGAGTGAAGCCATACGTTGAATACAAGAACTGACTACCTTGAAGAAATACAGTGAGAAAGGGGGGTGGGGGAGGGAAGTTAGCCACATGATGCGTAAGTGGAATCTGAAGGATAAAATGTAAGTCATCACACGTGAAAATAAAACTACATATAGCAATGAATAATCAGCTAAAAGAGTCTCCCTCCACCCCCATCTTAATACGATGTAAATCACAGACTTACAGTACTGGGCCCTAGGAATTTCTGTGCTGCAGCAGAGACAGACGCTTGCTAAGTGCAGGCTGCGACAACAGTGCTAACACATTCTGGGGGATCTGCGTGCACAGGCGGGTTTCGTGCCCAGATGTGCAGCCTGACATTTAACAGCCTGCCCACGAGATGTACCACAACAGTTCCTACAAGGATGTCTGGATTTGGAAAGCTGGGGCAAACCATAAAACGACTTCTTAAAAAGCGTCACCTCCTGTGACAAGTTTGTGTGCCTGCACCCTAGCGATGGAAAAACAAGGGTAGTGCTCACTCAAGGTTTTCAAAGGTCTTGATCACTTTTCTCAGCTTTTCTAGTTCTAGTTTCCTAGTTCTAGAACATCCTAGAAGATTATACGAGCACTAACATGCATATTATTTAAGACAACATAATTAATTTACAGAACAAGTCTTCATTTTTGAAAATCTCATTCTTGTGTTAACGCCTTTTATGAAACATCAAGCAACTGCCAAACTGCCCACAGTCGAGACAGACCTCTCACCTGAAGTGGTTCCTAGAACTCTCCAAGATGGCAAGTAGTTAACTGCTCCCCCTCTTTCCTACCCCTCTCCCCTTAAATGCACATTATTTACTGTTTAGCAGCAATGGGTATCATTTACCTGTTAACCTAACTCATTTAGAATTTGCACCTGAAGTTCCCCAAAGTCATCTCTAGAATCAATTTCAGTAATTCCAACAATAACTAACCTCAACAATTATGGGATGCTATGGTCTTTCTGTAGATATTTTTAGCTCTGGTTTAGTGCCTCACTAAAATTTTTTGCCTTTGATTCGTATCTAGAAGTCCAAGAGCACGAATACAGCAAGTTGGTATCCCCTTACAAAACACTTTGTAGATACAAATTCGATACCGAAACTACAATCTGCTTTAGCAGTTCTACATTCAGTAACAGGTACGTGTCATAGCGCTTGCTGCATTACTTGGATAGCAGACTTTTCTCCCAGGCGCTCTGAGGTCCCATCTTCTCCTCTCCCCTGCATTACCTGGGACTCCTTGTGCTACCTCTTCAGTCTTGGCTACATCACATTTTGGACCTGCTGGATTATGGTGCACATACACCACTGGAAGATGTCTACACAAGCATACTTCTTCAAGTCAGTAGGCTGGTAAAGACACCTATACAGGACTGTTATCTAAATTTGAACTGGTAAAATCCTGATCAGTCCAGTCTTCAAAAGTTGCATCAGTTTTAAGACGATCACATGTGCAGAACAGCCCAAACACTTCTCCGTTGAGCTTTTAACGGGGCACAAGAAGAAGGGGAAAAAAAAAAAAAAAAGAAAAAAAGAGAGGAGGGAAAAAAAAAGCAGAACAAAACCAGAACCTCACACAAACACTTTACAGTACTCTACTATCCTCCCTGCATGTAAAACAATGTGAAACAAAAAGTTCACCAGAAGAGCACATTTTGGTCTAAAGTAATAGAAACTCACCTGGTTTAAAGAATAAAGGATCATTTTTAAATATCTTCAGTGATTCAATCACACTTTCAAATTTTTCCTTCAAATAATACTCTTCTTGCTCAAATTCCTTGTCTCTCCTGCCAGGTTTTGAATTTCGGCTTTTTACCTCACCTTCGTGCTCTTCCCTAGGTTTGACAGAATCAGTCTTTTCAATCACTTTGCCTTCTTTTTCTTTTTGTTCTTTATCCTGACGGCATTTCGTTAGCCTTAGTGCTCTGTTTGCCTTTTCCTTTTCTTCCTTTACTTTTGCAGTATCTTTTTCATAGTGACGAATCCCACTCAAGTGTGAGACCAATAGTCTTGTAGTAATAGTGACCTAAGTAGAAAGGACAATATTTACATGTGAGCTCTTCTTTGTTAAAGATATGATGCACACTAAATTGCCAGCAAAGTAAAATTCAGCATGATGATGAACAGACAAAGATGTAAGACCTTCTAAATATCGTGTGTCAAAGCCAGTGAAAATACATGCATATACATGTGCACACTACACACCTGATATAAAACTGAAGGTCCAGATTTCCAGCCCTGCTTTTCAAGCAGCAAACATCAGTGCTTGTCTGAATGATTTCTGGTGTTTTATGGGAATAGGTCCAGGCACAGGCACCTGTACACATATGACTGTGCAACACCATGAACAAAAATCCAAAAAAGTTGCTACCAACAACAAACCAAAAAATTACGTACCTTTTCACCCTCGTAGACTTTTTCTGGAAATTCAGGGACATATTTCTGCACCGGAGCATCTAGATCCAGCTTTCCCTCTTCCCACAATTTAGCAACAGCCATCATTGTAAGACACTTGCTAATACTAGCAATTCGCATGATTGTCTCTGGCTTACATACCACACGATTCTCTACATCAGCATAACCCAAACCTTTAAGAAAATAAAAACACTGTGGTAAATATTTTGCATAGAGACATGTTGAATTAACTGTTTGCAATTAATTAAATCTACTGGCTCCTTAAAATGTTTTTCCACTAGTTAAACTGTGAGGTGAAGCATTGGACTATCCCTGCTATGTTTTAATGTTGTAGGAACAGTGAATCAAAGCCCATTGTATTGGCCAAAGGCATCCCAAGTTACTGATTAAGACTACAAAACAAACCTAATGACAAATGAGATTGAAGATTAAGCCAAAATTTACACTCCTGAGGTCAAATACTCAATGTAGAAAAACTAGAGACTAAAACCTAGACTGTAAAGTAACTGACCGACAGCCATAAATACACCTTTTACTGTTCTGAATGAATGGCTGAAATAGTAGTCTTATTTTATCAGTACAGACATTGAGGAAGGAAGTCATTCACAAATTCACAGCAGTTACCTAAGCTGTAAGGCTTCACATAACTGGTATCATACGCTATGTTTCAACATCACTCAGCATGACTTCATTCAAGACAGCTTAACAGTCTCCACACCAGCATTTTCCTATGCAACCTTCCCACAAGACTGGTAGCAAGACCTGGAATTAATGTGGCATTATCAAGCTCCCCCACTAGTCTTCAGTTTGAGCTAGGTTCAAAGAAACTGTGCAAGTGATGCTGCAGCAGAAAAAGCAATGAAACGCAGTAATGACGTATTTGCACTTTTCAGTACAAGCAAAGCCGGCAAGCAACACGTATCTGTCTACATAAAACCACCAGCTAACAATGAGCTGCTTGGGGAAGAAATCCTTGCCAAAACACAATGAACAAAACAGAATGGCAGGTCAGCTGGCCAAGACCCTTTCCTTTACCCAGAGTTGCTACTCAGGTAGTTGCACGGTGCTGGCGGACGCGGGTGCTGTGCCCGTCAGTGATAATACCTTCCAAATCTCAAATCGCTCCCATCAGTTTAGCAAGAAAGCAGGTTTAGTACCGCTGTCACAGAATACAAGCAACGCACGGAGCTGTCTGCCTGCTGGATCCGGCAGTCCTGGCGAGAAACCACAACCCCGGCACTAGTTCCCTCGGGCACTTCCCTGCGTGTCGAGGAAGGGATTCTGCAGAAGCCTTACAACAACTTCTGCTTTCCTTGCTAGGCAGTTTGAGACCAGAAAAAGCTACCCGATTTCAGAAAGCTTATGATTAAGTTTCTAGCACGATTTTCTCATTAGGCCACATTATAAAAGGTACCAGAGGCTCTCCAACTCCCTTCTGTCACAATGAAAGAGAAATGAAAACCTACAGTCAGCTTTATGCATACATAAAAGTTAATGCAACAACAGATAATTAGAAGAAAGATAGTAAAGAATTTTTTTTTCCAATTCTATAAGACGTTAATGAAATACATTGCCATTTACTACCACCATTTAAGTTGTCCAAAAAACCCCAAGCACATTACGAAAACATTTCTGGAAAAAGACACACAGTTTGGTGTTTCATTTGGGGTTTCTTTTTTAAATAAACATCAAATGTCTACATGATGTGAGTGGTACTACCAGACTATTTAAATCTAAGCTGTGTAACCAGAAAAATCACTTGCAGTTTCTGGAAGGACGACATCTGTTAAATCTCAGTACCTCCCCAGTGCAAATCCACACCTCGGCCCACAGACGCCAGACAAATCGCCACACGTGAGCCGTCACCACTCCGGCTACGGGGTGAGCTCCTGCGGGGAGCCCAGCTCGTCACCTCCGCGGCACACTTCTGCGAGCCCCCTGCCCAGCTGCAGGCCTAGAGTAGGAGTGTCCGCAGAGACCGACCCGACAAACCACTGCGAGAAAGGTTCTTAAACACAACCGCACAGCTCCCGCTCCCGCAGACCGACCTTCCGCCCAGACCTCCTCTCCATCGACGGCGACTCCAACCAGCATACCCGGGACCCCCGCTTCGTCCTGCCGGAAGAA